AAAAAAACATTTATTAACTAAGCCTTGTCTGATGAGGCTGTATAAAGTGCTGCCACACAGGATTTCTTCTTTCAGCCCTTTCTTTAAATTAAAATAAATTTTAAAAAATCATTACTTATTTTATCTAGTGCTAAATATTCTGTTTTTATTTGCATATTCATATGATTAATATATTTTGTTACATAAAAAGACAATGTTCCCAGCTTTTTTGATGCAAAAACAGCAACACAGAGAAAAAAGGGGAGACACACATCCATCTTGCTATCCTTATGAGGACTCCACACACACAGCGCTCAGCTTCTCTGCCTCATTCTGCTGCTCACGTTTTTAACACCAGGCAAAAAAAATGCATTTAAAACAGATGACATTAACTTTAGATCACAGTTTGAAACACTCCAGCATTTTTAAAAAGAAAAACAACACGGACATGCTGATTACAGTGCGGGGCGGAAGTGAAAGTAAAACATGGTGCTGAGCACCCGTTCGGTAAAGGAAATTAAACACAGCTGTTCTTTCTCCCCTCATATTCCGACACAGAGGGTAGAAACAGCTAAATTAGACAGTTAAAACACATTTACAGTTCATAACTCACCCTTGTTGTTGTAACATTCATCCTATGTTGTCCGCAAGCACTTTCCGCCCTGTTGTGGGTCCATTTCCTTGAAAAATGAAACTTAACCAGGCACTTTGAAGAAGCTCTGACGCTGGTAGTCTATGTAGATAATAATGTTGGTTTACACACCCCAGAACCGAACATTTTGACTTCTGAACTTGCATATTCGGAAAGACACTATGAACTACAAAATCACAAAGCGAGGAAAAAAATGGCGGACTATGAAATCCAGTTGGCCGGAAATACATTACCATCAATGGTAGTTCCGAAGAAAAAAGTGTGACGAAATAAACAATGAAATGAAATAAGCAACAGCAGATTTTGAACAAACTGAAAAATTTGACCCATAAATAATATAAAAATATATTTGCAGTAACTGGACAGAATAAATTATAGTTTTCTATACTCCTAGACACTATAATTGCACAAAAAATAGTTTATAAATGCAAAAAACGTGCATTTAGCATATGTCTCCTTTAAATTATGGATCTCGTTTGGGATCTGCATGTTTTAGTTTGTTTGTTTGCTTTTGCTCAGCTCATCAAAAATYGAGGATCTGTTTAGTGAGCTGATTAAAATAATTCTGACACTAAATAAAGACCCCTGCCTTCGCCTGGATGAGTCAACCTGGAAGTTGAGGCAAAAACTAAATGAGTGTTCCCTGTTGGTTGGCTTGATAAGTTTAAATCTATGTAAACAGTTAGGAACTTTTACAAAAGAAAAATACACCTCAGATCTTTTTTTCCAGAAGCTGACTTTTGATGACTCCCATGGTTCTTATCTTGCAGGCACGACTTTCAGCTTATATCCAGTGTGACGTCTGTCGCCTCTCGACTGAAGTCTAACTTTGATTTATTCTCTTTCCTCAAAATAAATCAATCAATCAATTCTTAACAGCCTTTTCAGTTAAACTTGCCACAAAGTTAAAGTGAAAACTCTGATCTTTTGAAGTAGGTTTTTATAAAGGTTATTTCCCTTATCTGTTATATCTTTGAATGGCCTCCATCTGATAAAGGTAGTTCAAATGAGGCCAAGACCAAGTCCAGTTTGAAAAACTTCATAGCAGTTCATACAGACACTAATGAAATATTTAAATTATTCTTGTACAATTACTGTGTAATTGTATAAACAATTGTGTAACCTTTTWAGTTCTGTATTATTTATATACTTCATGGTTATTTTGGAATATTAGGCACACCTGACTGCTGCCACTCATAATTGCATCAACACAACAAGTTTTATAAAATGGAATTGAATGAACCAATGTAAAATTAAATTTAAAACAATTGATATATCAATCAAACACTTAGCTTTAGTTCTCTTTTACTCCTTGCTTATTACACCAGTAAATTCTTAGTCTGTAACTCATTTACTGACAATGGCAATAAAGCGTTTCTGATTCTGATCACACACACACACTATATATATATATATATATATAGAGAGAGAGAGAGAGAGAGAGAGAGAGAGAGA